CAATGTCATAAAACAATATGTGTACTGACTGTTTAATGAGAAACTATTTGTTCTGTAAACCTTCATCTAAAGTACAATAAAAAATGTAAATATATATATCGTAGTCCATAATGATATAAAATGGTCCTCAACAAATGTTCCAAATTTAAGGAGGCTAAAGAGACATGACAATTACATGCAATGCATTACTCAAGACTAGATCCTGTGCTGGAGAAAAAAATAACGCTCTTTATAAAGGACATTATTGGGTCAATTGACAAAATTAGAATATAGACAGCAGATTAGATAAAAAGTATTATATCAATGCTAAATTTAACTGAGTTCCTAACTGTACTCTGGAGAACACCTCTATTCTATTCAAGATATACTGAAGTATTGAGGGGTAGAGAGCTCCATCCTCAAATGGTTCAGAAAAAAATATTCTGTGTGGGTATCACCTACCTAGGAGCCCTGGTAGCACAGTGGTTAAAGTGCTCAACTGCTAACCAAAAGGTTGGCAGTTTGAACCCACCAACCACTCTGCGGGTGAAAGATGTGGCACTCTGCTTTCATAAAGATTATAGCCTTGGAAACCCTATGAGACAGTTCTACTCTGTTCTATAGGGTCCCTATGAGTCCGAATGACTTGACAGCAATGGGTTTGGTTTGGTTTTGGTTTATCTACCTAAATATTTATCTGTGTATCTATGTATCCATCCACCCAGAAAGAACAAATGATAAAGCAAATGAGATAAAATGTTAACAATAAGTGAAACTGAATAACAGTATATACAAGTGTTCTTTGTACTATTTATCCTTACTCTTGAAACTTTTCTGCAAGTTTTTTAAACTATTTCCGAATAAGAAGTTTAAAATCAGTAAGTATACATATACACACACGTATAAATATATATTCATATTTATAAAGTATATACATATTACACACCCAGAATTTTATTTTTATTAGATATGCCAATTACTTCATGAAGAAAAAAAAAAATTAGCAACAATACCAAGATGCCATTTAATCTCTTTGAGCCTCATTTCTTTATCTGTAATATACAGGGATGGGAAATCTCCAATAGTCCTTAGAGTTCAAGTCTATGGTTCCAGAAGCTTCAAAAGTATGTGAGGCAGAAATACTGGTATCAACATTCTTCCTAAGAACTTTATGTCTCTGCATTTAGCCATAGAAAATACTGTTTTAATTATCTCCACAAAATCTGCGTCAGATAAGATACAGCATCAAACCTGCTCAGCAGGATGAGGAAGTTAAGCACTGTGGCCTTAACTAAGCCATCTCAGCTCAGATCAGTGCTTACTCCACTCAGTAAAATCAGTGCAGTTTTAAGAGAAGGTTTTCAATAATGATTTGATTACCAACAGTTCATGTTTGCATTTGCCATACCACCCAAGGCGTGGATGAGACCTGGGCCAGAAACCACAAGGCATGCTCCTGGCCTAGAAGCAAAACAGAATGTATTAAAAGCAAGTCAAATATAACAACTGATTGAGAAGGACATACAGGTCTTTACTACAATTGGTTAAAACAAAAATTAGAGTATTATTTCAATAAAAAAACAAGAAAAAGATTACATCACTCTTCCTTCAATAAGTAAGACAGCATCTTCACATTGTGTTTCACTAGCCTATTGTACTGGGGCTAAAAGGAGCCCTGGTGTTGCAGTGGTTAAGAGCTCGGCTGCTAACCAAAAGGTCAGTGGTTCGAATCCACCAGCTGCTCCTAGGAAACCCTATGGGGTAGTTGTACTCTGTCCTACAGGGTCGCTATGAGTCAGAATTGACTTGACGGCAATGGGTTTATATTGGGGCTAAATAAAGTGGACTGCATACAGAGCAATTTTTTTTACTGCTGAGTAAATTTGTCTGGGGGTAAAAAAAGCTTTTTCATTTCTTATCAAATAAATATAATGTCAATTGATCTTTGATACAAAAGTAATTCTGAAATGGAGTGTGCTATGTCCCAAACCTCTTTTTATGGAACATGGATGCTTTACCCTGGATGCAACTTTTTTATAAAGTAATTTCTTTAGAAGCTCTAGTTAAGATACTCTTTAAAAGAACCTTAACTATCACCGAGTAAATTAAACTTCTAGAACAGTGTTATCTAATAGAATTCTCTGCAATAATGGAGATGTTATATAGCTACACAGTCTGATAGGGTAGTCATGCTTGATACTGACTAGTGCAATTGAGAAACTATAGTTTAAATATTTAATTTTAATGAATTTAAATTCAAATGTAAATAGCCACATGTGGCTAGTGGCTACCATGCTGGACAGTGCAGTTCTAGAAGTACATTCAAGTAAAAAAGTTTTTTAAAAGCATAAACTCTTCACTACTCCCTAATCGTTATTCCTGTCATTTTGTAGACTAAGGTATCAATGACTCTGTATTGAAAGGTTTCCGGGCCAAACTGTTCACCTGTAAATAAGGTGACAGAAAATGGTCAAGATATTGTTATTTGGATGGCCTATTTTCCTCAAGCTCAAATTCAGAAGGTTCCTATCAGACAAGAAGGACTAATCTGTTTAAGTAGGTGCAAACAGGCTTTGGGACTTTATTACTTTATATTTTTTAGTATTTAATTACTAATTTCATTTTTGGAAAGAAAATTTTATTAAAGCTGACATAAGTGAAAAAAGATGATACAGATTATAGTATCAGTCCAGATTCTGCTTTGAAAAGATATGTGTGTAGAAATAAAAAGATGAAGAAATTATATACAAATATTAACAGTTGTGGGATTATGTGTGATTTTACTTTTCTTCCTTATACTCTTCTGTATTTTCCAAGTTTTCTAAAATGGACTTTTTTTTTTTAAATTTTTAATTAAGAGAAGGGTGAGTGATTAGGTAACAAGGCTACACACTATAAAATCTGTGGAACAAGCCCCCCCAATCATGTTTTTGAGCTGAGCACTTTCGTATGAAGCATGCTGGGGTGGTTATGAGATCCAAGTCAAGGCAAGATGCATCTGACCATCAGTGGTTCACCCTGCAAATGGCAATGTGTTCCATACTAAAACACTCTTTTCTGGTATGTATTATCATCCTTTGAACTGAACCTCAGAGAAAATTTCCTTCTTTTTCTTCATTAATAACATCTTCTATAATCTTTTAAAAGCAGCTAATTATTTACCTGAGAAATATAAGACTTCTACCCAAAAATATTAAAGTAATTGAAAAAAAAAAATAGATTTTTGCTCACCTGCCTGTCAGATATCCAATAGCAGAAGCTGCATAACAAGCCTACAAAGAAAGAACACCAGGACTTAAACATACTGGGATCCTTATAGTCTGTGTATGAGAATGATTTACTACTAAGCAAGAGAATGGAGCCCTGGTGACACAGTGGTTAAGAGCTATGGCTGTTACCAAAAGGTCGGCAGTTCAAACCCACCAGCTGCTCCCCGGAAACCCTATGGAGCAGTTCTACTCTGTCCTATAAAGTCTATAGGGTTGCTATGAGCCAGAATTGACTCAACAGCAATGGGTTTGGTTTTTGGTTTCAAGCAAGCGAACAGAATCTAATGGTAAATGAGGAACTGAAATGCTTCCAATTTTATCAAGGAATCATCGACCCATAAATTTCAAATAATGGTTTAGGTTCCTAATCTAGTTTTTAGTTTTTCAAGAAATTTCTCCATTTCTTCTATGTTGTTCATAATATCCTCTTACAGTTTTTTTAAATATCTGCAGGATCAGTAGGAATGTTTTCATTTTTATTCCTGGTATTGGTGCTATGTATTTTCTTCCTTTTATTCGTCAACAGTCTTAATACGGATTTATCAATTTTACTAATCTTTTCAAAGAACTAATTTTTGGCTTTGTTGATTTTTGCTGCTATTGATTTGCTTTCAATTTCATTAATTTCTGCTCTTATATTTACTATTTAACTCTCTCCATTTTTGGTTTAGTTTGCTTTTCTTTTTCTTGGAATGTAAGTTTACAGCATTGGTTTTTCATCTTCTTTACTAACAGATTCATTTAGAGCTACTCCCCCTAAGAACTGTGTTAGCTATATTCCATATCATTTAATTCAAAATATTTTCTATTTTTCACTGTAATTTCTTCTTCAACCCGTTAGTTAATTAGAATCTGTAGCAATATCCCCATTTTCCCATTTTCATTCCTGAATCTAGGAGAATTGGAAATTGTCAAAAATGAAATGGAACGCATAAACATCAATATCCTAGGCATTAGTGAGATGAAACGGCCGGGTATTGGCCATTTTGAATCAGACCATCATATAGTCTACTATGCCGAGAATGATAACTTGAAGAGGAACGGCATTGCTTCATCATCAAAAAGAACATTTCACAATCTATTCTGAAGTACAACACTGTCAGTGATACAATAATATCCAACTGTCTACACGGAAGACCAGTTAATACAACTATTATTCAAACTTATGCACCAAACACTAATGCCAATGAAGATTTTTACCAACTTCTGCAGTCTGAAATTGATCAAACATGCAGTCAAGATGCACTGATAATTACTGATGATTGGAATGTGAAAGTTGGAAACAAAGAAGGATCAGTAGCTGGAAAATACGGCCATGGTGATAGAAACAACGTGGGAGATTGCATGATAGAATTTTGCAAGACCAATGACCTATTTGTTGAAAATATCTTTTTTCAACCACACAAAGTGACTATACACCTGGACCTCACCAGATGGAATACACAGGAATCAAGCTGACTACACCTGTGGAAAGAAACGATAGAGAAGCTCAGTATCATCAATCACAAGAAGGCCAGCGGCTGACCGCGGAACAGACCATCAACTGCAAGTTCAAGTTGAAGCTGAAGAAAATGAAAACAAGTCCATGAGAACCAAAGTAAAATCTTCAATATGTCCCACCTGAATTTAGAGACCATCTCAAGAACAGATTTGACACGTTGAACACTAATGACCAAAAGATGAAACAAGTTGTGGAATGACATCAAGGACATCATATGTGAAGAAAGCCAAGAGGTCATTAAAAAGACAAGAAAGAAAGAAAAGACCAAAATGGATGTCAGAAGAGACTCTTAAACTTACTCTTAAACGTCAAGTAACTAAAGTGAAAGGTAAAAATGATGAAGCAAAAGAGCTGAACAGAAGATTTCAAAGGTCAGCTCGAGAAGACAAAGTAAAGTATTATAATGACATGCGCAAAGAGCTGGAGATAGAAAACCAAAAGAAAAGAACACGCTCGGCATTTCTCAAGCTGAAAGAAATTAAGAAAAAATTCAAGCCTCAAGTTGCAATACTGAAAGATTCTACAAGGAAAATATTAAACAACGCAGGAAGCATCAAAAAAAGATGGAAGGAATACACAGAATTACTATACCAAAAAGAACTGGCCAACATTCAACCATTACAGAGGTAGCATATGATCAGGAACTACTGGTACTGAAGGAAGAAGTCCAAGTTGCACTGAAGGCACTGGTGAAAAACAAGGCTCCAGGAACTGACAGAATACCAACTGAGATGTTTCAACAAATGGATGCAGGGCTGGATGTGCTCACTTGTCTATGCCAAGAAATCTGGAAGACAGCTACCTGGCCAACCAACTGGAAGAGATCCATATTTATGCCTATTCCCAAGAAAGGTGATCCAAACAAATGTGGAAATTATCAAATGATATCATTAATATCACATGCAAGTAAAATTTTGCTGAAGACCATTCAAAAGTGGCTGCAGCAGTACATTGACAGGGAACTGCCAGAAATTCAAGCCGGATTCAGAAGAGGACTTGGAACAAGGGATATCATTGCTGATGTCAGATGGATCCTGGCTGAAAGCAGAGAACACCAGAAAGATGTTTACCTGTGTTTTATTGACTATGCAGAGGCATTCGATTGTGTGGATCATAACAAATTATGGATAACATTACAAAGAATGGGAATTCCAGAACACTTAATTGGGCTCATGCAGAACCTGTATACAGATCAAGAGGCAGTTGTTCAAACAGAACAAGGGGATACTGTGTGGTTTGAAGTCAGGAAAGGCGTACGTCAGGGTTGTATCCTTTCCCCATACCTATTCAATCAAATAATCCAAGAAGCTGGACTACATGAAGAAGAACGGGGCATCAGGATTGGAGGAAGACTCATTAACAACCTGCGATACGCAGATGACACAACCTTGCTTGCTGAAAATGAAGAGGGCTTAAAGCACTTACTGATGAAAATCAAAGACTGCAGCCTTCAGTATGGATTACACCTCAACATAAAGGAAACAAAAAACCTCACAACTGGACCAAAAAGCAATGTCATGATAAACGGAGAAAAGATTGAGGTTGTCTAGGATTTCATTTTACTTGGATCCACAATCAACACCCATGGAAGCAGCAGTCCAGAAATCAAGACACAATTACATTGGGCAAATCTGCTGCAAAAGACCTCTTTAAAGTGCTGAAAAGCAAAGATGTCACCTTGAAGACTAAGGTGCTCCTCACCCAAGTCATGGTGTTTTCAATTGCCTCATATGCATGCGAAAGCTGATGATGAATAAGGAAGACCAAAGAGGAATTGATGCCTTTGAATTATGGTATTGGCAAAGAATATCGAATATACCACAGACTGCCAAAAGAATGAACAAATCTGTCGTGGAAGAAGTACAACCAGAATGCTCCTTAGAAGCAAGGATGACAAGACTACATCTTACATACTTTGGACATGTTATCAGGAGCAATCAGTCCCTGAAGAAGTCCATCATGCTTGGTAAAGTAGAGGGTCAGCAAAAAAGAGCAAGACCCTAAGCGAGATGGAGTGACACAGTGGCTGCAACAATGGGCTCAAGCATAACAACGACTGTGAGGATGGTGCAGGACAGGGCAGTGTTTCGTTCTGTTGTACACAGGGTCACTATGAGTCGGAACCAACTCCATGGCACCTAACAACAACATTTCTGATATTGGTAATTTGTGTTTTTCTTTTGTTCTTGACTCGTTTTGCTTGAGGTTTACTGATTTTATTAATCTTTTAACTATTTATAAAATACCAACACGTGTTGCTTAATTTTCAAACATTTGGAGATTTTATGGTTATCTTTCTGTTATTAATTTTTAATTGATTTTCAATTTACATACACTGTAATGTTTTCAATTCTTGGAAATTTGTTGAGACTTCCTTAATGGCTTGCATACGGTTTATTTTTAATTTTATGCTGCATTTCAGCTCATAATCAGGAAGCACGAGGAGGCACTACATTATATAAATACAAGATAACCTGCAAAAATGCCAAATGCCCTCTTAAATACATCCTTCTTCGTCTGGGATATCATTTCTCCCAGTAGTATTGCTTTGCATTTTTACAGAAATAATAATTTAAGTTGGGTACTTTCTAACTTTCATTTAACTTTAAACATGGTATACTGAACTTAAATGCACATTTAAAAAAAAAACCAAACCCACTGCTGTTGAGTCGATTCCAACTCTTAGCTACGCTATAGGACACAGCAGAACTGCCCACAGTGTTTCCAAGCCTGCAATCTTTATGGCAGCAGACTGCCACATCTTTCTCCAGCAGAGCAGCTGGTGGGTTCGAACCACCCACCTTTCAGTTAGCAGCCGTGTGATTTAACCACTGCGCCACCAGGGCTCCTCCAAATCCACATGAAGGATACCAATACAAAAAATAAAAATAAATTTTTATGAATCATAATCTTAACTGACACCACCACGTATGCCCAACTAAGAAGCTGCAAAAAGTCTCTGCTTTTCTTCTGTAGTGCTACTCTCTACTGGCCAATCATTGGCTCTCTCTTTTCCCTTTTACACATAAGGTCAAATTCACACAGGAGAATAAGAGAACTCTTGAGATATGAAGGCGCAGTGGGTAAGCGTTTGACTGCTAACCAAAAGATCGGTAGCTGGAATCCCCCAGCCGCTCCATGGAAACCCTATGGGGCAGTTCTACACTGTCCTATAGGGTCACTATGAGTCAGAATTGACTCCACAGCAACGGGTGTTTTTTGAGATATGAAAGTGCATAAAACAAAATATCTGATGCAATAAAAACACTTATTGAGACACTGAGAATCACGTCCACTTTTTAAAACGGGTTAAGACATGTTGCTACACAATGCAAAATTTACAACACCATATAACAAAAGGTATGCACCTCTAACATTAGATGTTACAAAACTGAAGGGGAATTGGTTTTATGATCATAAAAAATCTGTTTCTCTACCAAATTACCTCCACTCACAGGCAGAATAATATGTACAGCACTTAAGAGGGCAAACTCTGGAACTAACTGGCTTTGATTCAAATCCCAGTTCTCCTACTTTCTACTACGTAATTTTGGCAAGTTACTTTCTGTATCTTGATTTCCTCATCTATAAAATGAATTAACTCATAGCATTACTGTAAGGATGACATTTATTAATACATGTAAAGCACTCAGAACGGCGTTGGGCACATAGTAAGTGCTCAATGACTACTAACTTCCTGAAATTTGGTCTGGTCAATATACGTCTTGATTACTCTGCATGTATTTGATGAGACTGTCAAGTCACATCCAACTCTTTCTCTTCAGCACAAACATGCAATCAGCCACCAAGCCCTATTCTGTCTTCTGAATGGCTTCTGGATCTCTTCTCACATTCTCTTAATCATCACTGTGTCACTACTTAGTTCAGATGCTAGTTAAGTCTTCCTTTGAATCCTGCAGAGTCAGGTTGCCTGAGGGACATACGCACAGGGGTGTCTCACCGGCGCCTCAAACTCACTGTATGCAAAATTGAACTCATTACCTTTCCCCTCTAAAGTCAGCTCTTCCATCTGTACTTCCATGCTCAATCAGTGGCACCACAATCCACCCAGCTGGTTACACAGGCCCCAAACCCAGGGATCATCTCCAGAAGAGCCTGTCCTCTCCTCCCTAGCTGGTTCACGCCTAGTCATCTTTCAAGACAGCTCAGGCATGATCTCCTGCGGGAAACCTTCCCTGAAGTCCTAGGCTGAGCTGGGTGCCCCTTCTCTGGGCTCCCACAGCACCCTGGACACATCTCTTTCCCAGCACTTTACACATTACAGTGAAACTGTCTGTGTCTGTCTCTACAGGTAGGTTATAAGCATCTCAAGGACAAGAAACTATGTCTCATTCATCTCTATATCCAGGGTCCAACACAGCACGTGGGACCAAAGGAGCCCTCAGCCAAGTTTGTTGCTGTTGTCAGTTGCCATCAAGTCCATTCTGACTCATGGCGACCCCATGGGTACAGAGTAGAACTGCTCCATAGGGTTTTCAAAGCTGTGACCTTTCAGAAGCAGATCACCAGGCCTGTCTTCCAAGTTGCCTCTGGCTGGGTTCGAACCACCAACCTTTCAGCTAGTAGTTGAGCGCTTAACTGTCTGTGCCACCCAGGGATCCTCCAACTAAGTTAATAGAGACTGAAATAAAACTTCAAGCTGGATTCCGTCTTCTGGCTCCTCCCCTCTAATCCATAATCTATCAAAAAATAACAAACAACAACCCCCACTGCCACTGAGTTGATTCTCACTCATGGCAACCCGATGTATTACAGAGTAGAATTGCTTCCATAAAGACTACAGCCAAGGGTTTTCTTGGCTGTAGTCTTTATGGAAGCAGATCACCAGGCCTTTCTTCCACGGCACTGCTGGGTGGGTTTGAACCGCCAACTTTTAGGTTAGCAGTCAAACACAAGCCATTTGTGCCACCCAGGGACCTCCATACTCTGTACTACCTTCAAAATCATCTTACTGATGTACAATCTTCCACTTGTTTAGAAAAACCTTTAAAGTCTCTCTATTGCCTATTGAATAAAGTCCTAACTCCTCTTCCAGCTAGAGAAGACTCTCCACAACCTCCCCTCAGCCTACCCATCCGGTCTCACAGCCCATGCTTTTGAGATACCTTGATGGACCAGCATGAACAAACATTACCTCTATAAGTAATATTCTTTGTCCCAGTCATAGAGAACTGATAACTCCCTCTGCGCTACTGTTGTTCCTTATATGCACATTTACCATGAGACTTATTAAACCAGATAAGCTTTTTCTGTATGTCTTGCCCTCACCCTCCCAGACTTTGATCAACTGGAAAGTCAAGACTAAACCTCATTCCTTCTTTACAGCCCCTGTCTCCCATAGGTAAGTAGGACAGTACCAGGTACATAACACAGGAGAAGTCAGACCATATACAAATAATTCACAGAAATAGGCTGTCTTGGGAGAAGTACAGCCAGAATGCTCTTTAGAAGTGAGGATGGTGAGACTCTGTCTCACATTCTTTGGACATGCTATCAGGAGGGACTGGTCGCTAGAGAAGGATATCATGCTTGGTAAAGTACAGGGTCAGCAAAAAAGAGGAAGACCTTCAGCAAGATGGAGTGACACAGTGCCTGCAACAATGGGCTCAAGCATAACAACCATCATGAGGACAGCGCAGGACAGAGCAGTGTTTCATTCTGTTGTACACAGGGTCGCTATGAGTCGGAAGCGACCTGAGGGCACCTAACAACAATGAAGTGTGACAGTGAACTACAGGGCGCTCCAATTCTGACTGGGAAATTGTCTCTTCCAATTCTGACACTCTAGACTTTGCAGAATACAATGCGGCACAGTGGTTAAGAGCATGGACTCTGGATCTAGAATGCCTGGGTTCAAATGCTGGCTCTGCCACTATCAGCTGTGTCACCTTGGGCAAGTTACTTAATCTCTGTCTCACTTTTCATCTGTTAACTAGGATTAACAATAGTTTTAGCCTCATACGATTGTTTTGATTAATACGTGTAAAGCACAGCAACAGTGGCAAGTGCTGTCTAAGTGTTTCAATGACCATTTGCCATTATTATTGATTATTCCCAATAATCCATTTGACTCCCTGCGTTCATACTTACCGCTTGCTCATTCCTCATGCCGATGTACCAGATGCCCAGCCCCTGCGCTGCCACGGCGATTTCGGTCACTGGGACGCCTACGATACCAAACACGTACTCCACACCCTGGGGGCCGGAGAACAGAGAAATAAACGCCCGGTGCCCGCGATACCCTTCCTTCCCTCCCTCCTGGTCACTAAACGAAAAACTCTGCCGCAAACCACTTCCCGCGTTCCTCGTTTCCAAGACAACCCCAAGCCCTCGCCGGCTTCCGTAAGAGCCTTTTATAAGACCAAGGTGAGTCACTCGTACTTGGGTTTTCAAGGCCTGGGCTACGACTTTAGCACCAGACACCTGCTCCTCGCTCCTGTCGCCGCGCTCTGCGAGACTGCTTTCCGGCATCTTCTACCTAAAAGTAAAAGGCACTCCCGCCGCCAACAGCCAAACTGACACAATCACTCTGCGAAAGAAACCTCGAAGACGCCCGCGAACCAATTGTCGGACCGCCTCTCTGACTAACAGAAAGAGGGCAACCAACCGCTTTAAACATCAGGAGGGAAGAGGCGGGGCTAAAATCAGCCCGCTCGCAAGGGGAGGCGAGACTGTAAACGTACTCTTTCTCCAATCAGAACCTTGTTCTCCTCTCAGCTCCTCCATTCGTGGGGTCAGAGTGTCAGAGGAGGCGGGACTAGCAGGAGGCGGCAACTTAGCAGGTAAGAAGCCGACCTTTGGTAGTCTCGGGGCGTCGTTGTCGCCGTCCTCTCTGAACCTCTTACCATCCCAACCCTTTTCGGGGCCTCAAAAGGCGAGTGTTGCATGCGCAGAGTCGGGGGCTGAATGAGGGCTTGGAGTGGGCCTGGCGCGGGAGCACGCGTTCCGGGGCCCGCCCCCGGTCCGCTCTTGGATCTGCCGACAGGCTCTGCGAAGGCTGCTGGGTCTTGAGGTGAGCTGCAGCGCGTTGTGCTGTTGGCGGAAGTGATTACCTTTGGATCATATGGTCATGCCTCGCCCCACTCTGCTGTGTTTTCTAGGCTTTAAACCATAGTATTGTACGTTACTTAAATCCGTATAAGGCCGAGGAATTCAGACATCGAAAAGAGTAACTTGCCCGGAGTCATTAGACCCAGACTTTGCTTCTGGCTCCCAAATCCTACCCTCTGTCCACTCTTCCCTCCTTAGGTCTCAAAAGCAGAGAAAGATCCAATGAACCTCATTAGTTTTGAGACATGTTTTCTCTAACCTTTGCAGCTAATCCACATTACTCTGTCTTTTCAAAGTCAGGAAATGTGGCTTTTCATAATTCTTAGATTCAGTCCCCACCTGCAACCAGCCCCAGCACCATAACTTTTTCCTTTAGCTTCTTCCAAGATTTTTCTCTGGTTTTCTGCAGTTTGAATATGATAAACCTAGGTGTAGATTTTTTTAGCTATATATCCTGCTTAGTGTTCTCTGAGCTTCCTGGATCTGTGGTTTAGTGTCAATAATTTTGGAAAAATCTCAGCCATTATTATTTCAAATATTTCTTCTATTCCTGTCTCTCTTCTTCTAGTGTTCCCATTACACATGCTATACCTTATGTAATTGTCCCACAGTTCTTGAATATTTTATTCCTTTTTCCCCCAGTCTCTTTTCTGTTTGCTTTTCAGTTTGGGAAGTTTCTACTAACACATCTTCAAGATCACTGATTCTTTCCTTCGCTGTGTCCAGTCTACTTACGAGCTCATCAAGACATTCTTCATTTCTGTTAGTGTTTTTGATTTCTCACATTTCCTTTTGAGTATTTCTTACTCAAAGAAGAGTTCAATTCTCTCTGCTTAGATTATCCATCTGTTCTTACATGTCCACCTTTTCCGTTGGAGCCTTTAGTATATTAATACGTTACTTTAAATTCCTGATCTGTTCATTAGAACATCTCTGCCATATCTGTGTCTGATTCTTATCTCTGCTCTGACACTTCAGGCTGTGTGTTTTGCATTTTAGCATGCCTTGTAATTTTTTGTTGAAAACCGAGTGAGAAGTGCAGGGTAAGAGGAACTGAGGTGCTTTCCGTTGTAAAGTTCTGTTGATGTTGATGTGGTGGTAGGTGTGGGAGGAGGGAAAGCGTTCTATCCTATGATTAGGTCTTAGTCTTTTAGTGAGCCTGTGTCCCTGGGTTGTGACCTTCACAGGTGCTTCTTAACTCCCCCCGCCCCCATCCTTTAGGTGAAACAAGGAGGCTAGAGGGGCCTGGAGTTGGGTGTTTCCTTTCCCCCTGCATTGAAGGTTAAAAGGGGGCTGGAGTTTGGCAGTTCTCCTCCCCCAAGTGGAAGTCTAGATGTGGCTGGAGCTGGATATTTCCCCTCTTCCAAGTTTGTTGTTGTTGTTATTAGCTGCCGTCAAGTTGACCCTGACTCATGGCAACCCCATGCACAACAGAATGAAATGCTACCCAGTCCTGTGCCATCGTATGAGCAGCTGGGGATCAGAGGTTGTGACCCATAGGGTTTTCAGTGGCTGATTTTCAGAAGTAGATCACCAGGCCTTTCTTCCTAGTCTATCTTAGTCTGGAAGCTCCGCTGAAACCTGTTCAGTATCATAGCAACACCCTTCATACAAAGACGGATGGTGGTGGCTGTGCATGAGGTGTATTGGTAGGGATTCAAACCCAGGTCTCGTGCATGGGAAGATGAGAATTCAACCACTGAACCACCAAGTCAGTTAAAAAAAAAACAAGTATGCAGTGTAGAACTGCACTCAGTAGGCTTTTCAAGGTTTTGACCTTTTGGAAACAGATTTCCAGGCCTTTCTTCCAAGGCACCTCTGGGTACATTTGAACTGCCAACTTTTCAGTTAGTAGTTGAGCACTTAACCAGTTGCACCACACAGTAGGTTAACAACAACAACAACAAAAAAACCTAAACACGTTGCCGTCAAGTTGATTCCAACTCATGATGGCCCCATGTCTTACAGAATAGAACTGTTGCACAGGGTTCTTGGCTGTAATCTTTATATAAGCACATCTCAGGCCTTCTGCAGCACCACTGAGTGGGTTTGAACCACAGACATTTAGGTGAAAACCATTTGCACCTCTCAGGGACCATCCCAGTAGTTGGGCTGTGATAAAACCCAGGATGGCTAGACTCTGGTAGAGCAGTTTCCCTCTAGGGCAGGCCCTTGACGAGAAGAACAGAGCACTATTTTAAAATGTTTACGTTTCCCCTTCCCCTCTAGTGGCACGATTAAAATCTGGTGGCTCTTGAAAGTGAGGTTGGGTCTCCTGGAGTTTTTTCTTTCTCAAAGTAGTCCACACTGAGTCTCCAACAATCAGTTCCCCTTTAAGTATTCCTGCTGGACACTGGGTCTGGTGGCTGCAGTGGTGGTGGAGGTCAGCAGCAGTGCTGGAGGTCTGGCTCCCAGTGAGCTAAGCGATAGTTTTCTATTAGTCTGTCTCTCCAGCTTTGGGGGCAGCGGTTTGCTGTGTAACCTCAGTTCTCTGATGGATCTAAGAAGAGTTCTTGATTCTCAGATTTTCAGCGTTTTATTGTTGTGAGGACAGGAAGGATGACTTCCAAGTTCCTTACACACTGGACTGGAAACTGGAAGTCCATAACTTTTTAAAACACATCTTTGGGTGGGAAAAATTGCTTGCAACATGCAGTTGCTGGTGCTGCCACCTCAGAGCTGTTAAACCATCTGCTCAGTAACAAACATAAAATCTCCAGTTGTAACAAAAAGTGGAACTTTTCTTTTTTTGATGATTTGGGCTGTTCTTAAGCAAAAAGGCCAGTTATATGTGGACTTACAAAGAGATAAGAAGAGAGAGGAGCAGGTCATAGGTAGTGAAATGAATGAGAAACATCAGAAGTGAAAGAATTTCTAAGCCCAAGTAAACCCATGTGTGTCAGAGTAGAACTGTGCTCCACAGGGTCTTCAATGGCTGATTATTCAGAAGTAGATCACCAGGCCGCCTGTCATGGATTGAATTATGTCCCCCAAAAAGTGTGTGTATCAATTTGGCTGGGCCATGATTCCTAGTATTGTGTGGTTGTCCTCCATTTTTTGATTTCTTTTTGTTGAAGCTATCCACTTGTAGTATTTCTGTTATAGCAGCACTAGATGACTAAGACACTGCCTTTCTTCTGAGGCACCTCTGGGTGGACTTTTGCTTAGTAGCCAGGTGAGTTAACCGTTTTCACCACCCAGGGACTCCAAATGGTCTTTCCCTCTGCATCTCATCCTCCACCACCACCCCAAGCAGAGGAGAGTGAAATGGCTGCCTCCCTGGGTCTCAAGGCTTAGCCTAAGGCAGCCCGTCTAAGGAAGATATCTTTGAAGGCTTATAGTTCATCTAAAAAAAATACATGCTTAGAGAAATAAGAGCCATCACAAGAGTAGACATATGTACACCCATATTCATTCGCAGCATTATTCACAGTAGCAAAAAGATGGAGACAACTTAAGTGCCCATCAACAGATGAATGGATAAACAAACTGTGGTACATACACATAATGGAATACTATGCAACAGTAAAGAACAATAATGAATCTGTGAAACGTCCCACAACATGGATGAATCTGAAGGACATTATGCTGAGTGAAATAAGTCAATCACAGAAGGACAAATACTGTATGAGACCACTATTACAAAAACTCATGAAAAGGTTTACACACAGAAAGAAACAATCTTTGATGGTTACAAGGGTGGGGGGGAAGGGAAAAACACTAACTAGGTAGTAGATAAGTGGTAACTTTGGTGAAGAGTTAGACAGTATACAGTACTGGGGAAGTCAGCCCAACTTGACCAAGGCAAAGTCATAGAAGCTTCACAGACACATCCAAACTCGCTGAGTGTCTTAGTCGTCTAGTGCTACTATAACAGAAATACCACAAGTGGATGGCTTTAACAAGGAGACATTTATTATCTCACAGTATAGTAGGTTACAAGTCCAAACTCAAGGCGTCAGCTCCAGGGGAAGGCTTTCTCTGTCAGCTGTGGAGGAAGGTCCTTGTCATCGGTCTTCCCTTGTTCTGGGAGCATCTCAGCACAGGAACCTCAGGTCCAAGGGATGCGCTCTGCTCCCAGCACTGCTTTCTTGGTGGTATGAGGTCCCCAATTCTCTGCTTCCCTTTCCTTTTATCTCGTACAGGAGATAAAAGGTGGTGCAGGCCATAGCCCAGGGAAACTCCCTTTACATTGGATCAGGAATGTGACCTTAGTAAGGGTGTTACAATCCCACCCTAATCCTCTAACATAAAATAACAATCACAAAATGGAGGACAACCACACAGTACTAGGAATCATGGCCTAGCCAAATTGATACGCACATATTTGGGGGGACATAATTCAATCCATGACACTGAGAGACTGAGTTACTGGGCTAGGGCTGGGGACCATGGTCTCGGGGGACATCTAGCTCAATTGACATAACATAATTTATAAAGAAAATGTTCTGCATCTGACTGTGGTAAGTAGCATCTAGGGTCTTAAAAGCCTGCAAGTGGCCATTTAAGATACATCTACTGGTCCCATCCCAGTTGGAGCAAAGGAGAATGAAGAAAACCAAAG